ATATATTGTTCGTTAAACTAAATAAAGAAATTTTTTTTAAGAGCAAATTGTCAAATAATTCATTATTGTTGCACAAAATGGCATGAGAATAGAATAAAGTTAAAATTTATTTATATTAAAAAAAAGATTGTTAACAAATGTCATTGAAAGAGATAAGGACAACGACTTATGTATATATTAATATGTACAAATATTGAAATTAAAAGCTCAATTATTTACATTAGACGTAGAAATTTGACTTTCCTTTTTGCGATATTTAGTTTAAAATTTTAGGTATAAAACCACCTTTTTTTAGTACAATAAAATAAAAATATATATGCCTTGTCCTAATTTTATGATATTTAATCATAACTCAGGCCCCATGATATTTTATAAACAATATGCTTATTTTATTAATGATAATAATAAATAAAAGAATTATTGTGTACGATATCGATACAAGATATTTACCCCTGATGATACAAAATGCTGGGATCCGACGTCGCATGATAGGGTCGGAGTTCTATTCTCTATAGTACGTTACACAGTATATTTGTCGCGCTTTCAGCCGTCGATTTAGAAATAGTTTTGACTTTTTAACATGGCCCACTCTTATGTTCAATATTCCTTTTCTAATTATAATTTTATTTATTTGGTTTAAATATCTAAATTTAAATATAATTATTTTATATTAAAGTCAACCAAAATTAGTAATCTTTAAATGAAAACAGGATCATGTGTTTTTCCCGTGGTAGTTTTCATTTATAATTATTTAAAAAAAGCATAAAATATCAGGGCGATTGATATTTATAGACATTTCTAGTATTTAATATTATCTATTTAACACAATTTCAAAATTTTTGGCTCAAAAAGTATTTTATCATAAGAATAAAAAACAAAACTAATGGATTTAAATAAACTACCTAATTTATACAAGGTTAACATAATTTGAATATTAATTAACTCAAATAAATATTTAATTAAAATTCAATAAAAACCAAACAATATTTTCTTTTCACATTATAAGGTATTATAAACCCACCGTGCAAGTGGGCACCCGTAAATATATATATTTTTTAGTTTTTTCGTTTTGTTAGTTAAGAATGTCAATGACTGTGAGCAAGACCAGCCGTATATGTGATGCTATATTGATGTATAATACAAAAGTCAACTCGCTGACTTTTATATTTGCCATTTCTTTATTCTTTTGAACACATGCAGATAAGGTCAACCAATTTAACTTACTAAATAATAAATGATTTACTCACAGAAGCCAAAATTTATTTATTATTTATTTATTTTTGTCTACGAGAAAAATATCAATCTAAGAGTTTTGCACCAAACTGAACTTTACATTTGTATTTGTATGAGATCTCACGAAAAGAAGGAAACAAAGTTAGAAAGAGGATAATATCTATTAGTGATAGGTTTGAACCGTTACAATTAAAATATTATTTATTATTTAGTTTTAACGTGAGGAATGAATGGTCGCGTAAAGCTTTATTAGTTATGAGTTAGATGGAAATTGGATTGTTTGGCATAGAAAAAAAGAAGTTAATTAGGGTTACAATTTGAATAATTGGTAATGGCGTGCACTATTGGGAAAGGCCAGCTGGAGGAGCAACTGGCAGCTATAGAGGAATTGTTTAGCAAAAAATTAGAAATATTAAACCAATACTAATTTGATTAATAGAAGTATTTTTGTTTATTAAAGTCCTAATTGTAGCGAGAGAGAGGGAGATTAAAATAGTGTAAGTACGTGGGCATATACCATAAAGATGCTTTAATGATTCTTCTCATTATAAAATTTGCTAAACTGATTCTCCCATTTCATTAGCTCACCACACTCTCTATATAAACTGTGATCAACCCTTCGATCATCTCATTCCCTTCCACTTCTCCTCACACTTTGGTAAGAATTACGAGTTTTCTCCTCGATCTCGATCGTTTAAAGTACTTTAGAATTTAAATTTATGATAATATATATGTTTTTTCTAAAGCAGGATTGAATTGGATCGGATTGAGAAGGGTTGAATCGTGAACCGATTAACAAAATGACTCAAGAATTGGGAGTTCTAAATGCACTTGATGTTGCGAAGACTCAATGGTACCATTTCACAGCGATCATCATAGCGGGAATGGGGTTCTTCACGGATGCCTACGATCTTTTTTGCATTGCCGTGGTTTCGAAGTTGCTTGGTCGGATATACTACTACACGCCAGGCTCTGCTCGACCCGGGTCGCTTCCTCCTAATGTCTCGGCTGCTGTTAGCGGGGTTGCGCTCTGTGGAACTCTGGCCGGGCAGCTGTTCTTCGGGTGGCTTGGTGACAAGTTGGGTAGGAAGAAAGTGTATGGTATTACTTTGATTCTCATGGTGCTTTGTTCGTTTGGGTCAGGGCTTAGCTTTGGGCATTCGGCCAAAGCTACAATGACCACTTTATGCCTGTTTCGGTTCTGGCTTGGCTTTGGGATTGGCGGTGATTACCCACTTTCCGCTACTATTATGTCTGAATATGCCAACAAGAAAACTCGTGGGGCTTTTATAGCTGCCGTCTTTGCCATGCAAGGATTTGGCATTTTGGCTGGTGGGATCGTCGCTTTGATTGTCGCAGGTACCAAAATTACACTGTCCATTAATAATTTGTTGAGAATTGTTAGAAATGAATCCCATATTAACTATAGCTTATGCTTGAAATAGACAATATCAGGTGATTTTGACATATTTTGTTTTGAGTGCAGCTGCATTCAACAACAGGTTTTCAGCTCCGGCATACGAGGTGGATGCGGTAAGCTCAACCGTACCAGAGGCGGACTATGTATGGCGGGTAGTTCTAATGTTTGGAGCCATCCCCGCTGGTTTGACATACTACTGGCGTATGAAAATGCCTGAAACTGCCCGTTACACGGCTCTGGTGGCGAAGAACGCCAAGCAAGCGGCGGTGGACATGTCAAGAGTGTTGCAAGTGGAGCTGGCGGCAGAGGAAGAGAAATTAGAGAAAATCGTGGCCACAAGCAAGAACAGTTTCGGGTTGTTTTCCAAAGAGTTTCTCAAGCGCCATGGGCTCCATTTACTAGGAACCACCAGCACTTGGTTCTTACTAGACATCGCATTTTACAGCCAAAACCTTTTCCAAAAAGACATCTTTACAGCAATTGGTTGGCTCCCTCCCGCAAAAACAATGAGCGCTCTCGAGGAGTGCTTCAGAATCGCCAAGGCCCAAACGCTGATTGCGCTTTGTGGAACCGTGCCAGGGTATTGGTTCACCGTGGCTTTAATTGACATCATTGGCAGATTCACCATCCAATTAATTGGGTTCATAATGATGACTATTTTCATGTTTGCCATTGCGTTTCCTTACAATCACTGGATTTTGAAAGAGAATCGAATTGGGTTTCTGGTGATGTATTCACTCACCTTCTTCTTCGCCAATTTTGGGCCCAACGCCACCACTTTCATCGTTCCAGCTGAAATCTTCCCTGCCAGGCTGCGGTCCACGTGTCATGGGATCTCCGCCGCCGCGGGTAAGGCCGGAGCAATCGTCGGGGCATTTGGGTTCTTGTACGCAGCGCAGAATCCGGACGCATCCAAAACCGACCCTGGTTACCCACCGGGTTTTGGTGTTAAGAACTCTCTCATTGCACTTGGTTGCATCAACTTCCTCGGCGGTTTGCTCACCTTGTTGGTGCCGGAACCTAAAGGAAAATCACTGGAGGAATTGACCGGCGAGAACGAGGCGCCGGAGGAAGACGCCGCCGCCGCCCAACCGGGAAATAGAGCCGGACAAGTTTGATCTACGACTGTGATTGGAAATTAAACAACTCCTGTGTGACATTTTGTGGAATTAATAAATAATGCGTCTTGGGTTTGGGGTTTGGGGTTCGGGGTATGCGTCTTGTGATATCATTTTGATTTTTTATTTTTGATTTCCTTGTGTATTTTGTTTCTCTTGGTAAAAGTCATATACAGGTTCTTAAGTTTTTTTTATCCTTTTTTTTTTATATTATTATATACTTTGTATTGACTACCATTTTAATTTTAATGTGTTACAGAAAAAAAAAAAAAGAAAAAGTATGGGCCTCCACTATTTCTCTTCTTTTGGGCTTGTGACGAATTTAGGCCCAATATGATTATGGGCCTACACTATTTTTAATATGGTTTTGGGCTTGTGACGAATTCAGGCCCCGGGTTATCGAGATGGGCTTAGTGTCTGGGCCGAGAAATATTGGGCTAGTTGGAAACACGCGTAGACATTTGGGCCGTGGGTTGCTAGGCAGGTTCCGAACCTGCGAGGTTTAGTCCGAAGATGTGGTCTGGGTTCTGTTTTCCTACCGAGGCTGAGGTTTGGACTTTGGCTCGGATTCCGTGGCTAAGGTTTGGATTTTTGTCGTATTTTGTTCGGTTATTTCTGTTATTATTATTATTTTTTTTAATTTAAAACTAAAAATAAAAGGAGATGTGACGGGGAGATTTGATGGGCTTGGATGAATGGGAAAGTATGTGGTCCTAGAGTACAGCTGGCATTTACTATAAACGCCATTTGTCATTTCGAATATTTCCTTTTGTGTAATCTCAATAATAATGCGTCATATTACAATTTTGTTGGAAAATATAACTTTTATTTAATTTAATATGAATTTTCGAAAAGAACGAGCACATTCGAAACTATTAAATTAATATGCGTTGCAGATATATTCATTAAAAATAATGATGATACATGAAATTCAATTTACAATTAATATGCATTGCATCATTTGTGTGATGTAAGGTAATTAATTTTTGTTTTCATAAAAAAAATCTAAATTTATGTGTATGTTTTTAATTGAAAAATGATTTAATTTATTAAAACAAATCGAAACAACGTAATAAAATAAGAGAGATAAATGGAGTAGAACAAAAAACAGAAAGTGCAGCGTGAAAAAACGCGCGCCAACGTGGAAAATAAGAACTAAAATGGAATATTCGATGCCGAACGCTACTCAAGATTCCTTCCATTCACGTGCGATGGATGGGGTTGCCGCTTCTTAACTCCCCCATCCCCTCCTCACTTCTCTCCATTGCCTTTCCTTCTTCCTCCTCCACCGCCGCCGCCGTCACATTTTCCGGCGATAGCAGAAATTGCGATTCTGCAAGGACTAATAGTGGAGATCGTAGTGTTTCAGTGCTTCCTGTGAGTCGACGTCTAGGTATAGCCACTGCGTATTGCACCGCTCTAAACTCTTTTTATTCTTGCTCTGTGAATGCTGTGCATTGATTTCCGCTCTCTGTTTCTTTGATTTTAGTTTTATGTCGATTTGTTTCTTCTCTTTCGGAAATTTTGTTGCGATTTCAATCTTGTTTTTGTCGCGTCGATTGATTTCCAAAGAGAATCGAATGATGACAAATTTGTTGAAGATTCTTATTACGCAGTTCCGATTAAGTTCTGTTCCTATTTTTCTTCTTCTATTTCATTTTCTGTTTGGCTGTCACAGAAGGCATTGCGAATGGATATTGGAGATGAATTTTCTTGCTGATTTCTTTGAGAGGATTTAAATGACCACAACAAAAAAATTCATATAAATCATTTGAATTTTGATTTGTCTGTTGTTTGTTGATTAAAAGTATTCAAAATGAAGATATGATTTAATGTAGTTGAGATATGATTCAAATATTCAACTAACAAGATTTGATTTTAGGAGATGGTCAGTAGATTTGAATTTATCTAAATTTAGGACGGTGTATAAGCCTATATATAGTGAAATTGTGTAACACTTTAATTGATCCATTTTATCTTTTATATCTCTTTCACTATCCATTTTCCCATTAGACATTGTTGATTCTAGCAAGATTTCTTTGTGGCTTTCCGAAATTTCTTCTTTCTTTTATGTCGGCTTGAGGGCGTACGATTCATAGGAGAAAGAACTGAAGTTTCTGAAAAGTGGAACCCTCACTGGAAAGCTATAGTTTGGCTGATTGACTTTTATATATAGATATATATATAATTTCACTTTTACATATTAGTAAGAAAACCCTAACTATTTCAATTAGTCGAACTGATATTATTTAAAAATACTTATTATTTTTGTTTCTTAATATCTAATGTTCATGATTCATATTAAGATTTGATAATAAGTATTGCTTTAAATCAAATACATTTAATTTTGAAGTTAGAAAATGAGTTAAGGTGCAATTGTTGACGACGTAGATAATATATATATATATTTTTTCTTTTTGCCATATAAAAGGTTTTTGAATTTGAAAGGCTCAATCAATTTTGGGATGAGTTCCTAATTCGTTTTTTGATGCGGCAGAATTTGAATAAAAATAATGAATCTTCTTCATTGGATTTTTGTTGGGTTGTCGCCTTCGTAAAGTTGGGTCCAGGAAATATTGGGACTCCACATGTCGGAGGAAATTTGGCAGCTCCTCCTGTTGTCTTCTCTGCTATGGCCTACTTACTGCTTCTATTATTTAAATAATCTTCCATTTATGTTCTATTCTGCCGTACTCCAACATGTGTTTGTTAGTGAAACTTGCACCTTTTGTCTGGGAATTCGTAACTCGATTTGAGCATTTTTGTGATTAGTTTTTGGCTGATACTAGTTTGTGGTTGCTGGTTCTGTGATTGTGCTTCGCCTGCTCCTTCTTCCTCATATTTGGGCCCTTTTGTTTCTTCAATTCAGGGGAACAATTCTGAGGAGAAAGTTGGGAGAGTTGAAATCATGGCAGGAGAGCCACTGAAAGTGCTGGACGCATTGGATGTAGCCAAAACCCAATGGTACCATTTCACTGCAATTGTAATCGCAGGAATGGGATTTTTCACAGATGCCTATGATCTCTTCTGCGTGTCTCTCGTGACCAAACTTTTGGGCCGAATTTACTATCACAAAGAAGGCTCAACCAAGCCTGGTGAATTGCCCTCTAACGTAGCCGCCGCCGTAAATGGCGTCGCTTTCTGCGGAACTCTCTCTGGCCAGCTCTTCTTTGGGTGGCTTGGTGACAAGATGGGTCGAAAACGAGTCTACGGAATGACTCTTATGCTTATGGTCATTTGCTCTGTAGCTTCAGGCCTATCTTTCGGCGGCCACCCATCATCTGTGGTGGCTACTCTGTGTTTTTTCCGATTCTGGCTCGGATTTGGCATCGGCGGCGATTACCCACTTTCGGCCACCATCATGTCGGAATATGCCAATAAAAAGACACGAGGGGCCTTCATCGCCGCCGTATTTGCAATGCAGGGGTTTGGGATTTTGGCCGGTGGGGTAGTGGCAATTATTGTGTCCTCCGCTTTTGACGCCAAATTCCCAGCTCCGTCGTACCAGGAAAATCCCGCCGCCTCCACCGTCCCAGAGGCTGATTATGTGTGGCGAATTATTGTGATTTTTGGTGCTTTTCCGGCTCTGCTCACTTATTACTGGCGAATGAAAATGCCTGAAACTGCTCGTTACACCGCCTTGGTTGCAAAAAATGCGAAACAGGCGGCCGCCGATATGTCTAAAGTACTGCAGGTTGAATTAGAATCGGAGCAGGATAAAATCGATGAGGGGAAATCGAAGAATGATTTTGGGTTGTTCACGAGGAGTTTTCTTCGTCGACATGGACTTCACCTGCTGGGGACTACCTCTACTTGGTTCTTGTTGGACATCGCATTTTACAGTCAGAATCTCTTTCAGAAGGACATTTTCACGGCCATTGGTTGGCTTCCTCCGGCAAAGACGATGAACGCCATTGAAGAGGTTTACAGAATCGCCAGAGCTCAAACCCTCATTGCATTGTGCAGTACAGTACCTGGGTATTGGTTCACTGTGGCGCTCATCGACGTAATGGGACGATTTGTAATTCAGTTGATGGGGTTTTTCTTCATGACGGTATTCATGTTCGCAATAGCCATTCCGTACAAGCACTGGACTCTGGAATCCAACAGAATTGGGTTTGTCGTGATGTATTCCCTGACGTTCTTCTTCGCGAATTTCGGGCCAAACGCCACCACATTCGTGGTTCCGGCGGAGATATTTCCAGCCAGGCTCCGGTCAACCTGCCATGGAATATCAGCTGCATCTGGAAAAGCAGGGGCCATTATTGGGGCGTTTGGATTTCAATATGCGGAAAAGGCGATTGGAGTGAAAAAGACATTGATAATTCTCGGTGTAGTGAATGCTCTTGGGATGTTCTTCACTTTTTTGGTTCCTGAATCGAAGGGGAAGTCTTTGGAAGAGGTATCCGGTGAAGCTGGAGAAGGCGACGAGAGCATAACAGAGTCGAGGACTCATTCTATACCTGTTTGAACGTTCTTCCGGAGGTCTGTCTTTTTTCTTCTTTCTCTTTATGCGTAGTTTCATTTAAAACAAGATTCCATGTGTTCTATACGGTACGGCAATCTTCGTATTAGAAGTCGCCGATCAACCGCCCACAAGATTGCTTCTTCGGAAAATATAATGGCAAATGACAAAGACTTCGTATTTTCAGAACATATTATATAAACAAATTAAATGTTGGAAGTTGTTTAAAATATTTGAAAATAGAACTTCTTGTATTTGGTATTGTATTTTACAATTTAATATAAATAAATAATATTTTTATTTAGTTTCTACCGTCATATTTGTTTATTATGAGAATAAATTATATATAATTTTAAATTTTAATAGCTTAATTGATAAAAACGATCCAAATCAATTCAAAATATTACTAAAAATTAACAGTTTATTATTATTATTTATAAATTTAATATATATTTTAAAATTATGATATGTAATATCTAGTATACTAATGAACATTTATCCTCATAAATAAATCAATAAGTAATTAGTTGTAATTACTGAAAATAATTTTTATCAACCTAATTTAATTCATCATAATTAACTAATAGATTTAATTAACGATTAAGTTAATTCCTTATAATAATATTTTGATGTAAAATTAATTAATATATATTTAAATAATTAATTATGTTAATTTCGGTAACCTATATCAATTAGCCAAATAATTGATCGGGTATAATTAAAATATAATTACAAATAAATTAAAAAAAAAAAGCAAATTTAGAAAGAAAAACAAAGAGAAAATCTATGAATTTTGTAAGGGTGTTGAATACCCTTGATTCGTGGGCATATCTGGAATTATGTATTTCTAGAATCATCCAATAAATTTGTTCTCCACTTTGATAAAATAAAGTTGCAAAAAAAAAAAAGAAAAAAAACGGAAATAGATTTAAATTTCAACTGAAAGGTCAATAAATCGTGGTACGGAATAGGACACCGTTCTCGCCAATAAGAGAGCGGGAATCGCTCCTGATTTTCCGTTACAGATTCTCTGTTTTCTAATTTTTAACACAGGTTCTCACCTTATCATAATTAAACTTTGAAATACTTATTTGGTTAGTTTTTTAATTATATATTTTTGGCTCAATTATTCATTCATGTTATTACCTGGAAAAAATAAGAAAGAAAAAAAAAAACAGCACACTGCTTCTATGTTTGTTATAATTATACGAACTTGTTGAGGATTTATTAAGCAAGTATGAATCATTGTAGTTTAATAAGGAATGTGAGGTTGGTAGTACTATTCCAAAAAATCATTTCTCAGACCCCAAATATTTTCTTCCAGATATTGCAGAAGAAATTTGAACGCCAGAAGAAAGCAGAAAACAGATGGTGATAAAAATTCTGGGTAGCAATTGCATTGAAATCTACAAGAAAGGTTTCAGAGTGCCATACAAGTGATTCAGAGCAACTGCTTTATATCACATGCTTATTCATTTGGCTCCGCCATGTTTTCACTGCGCAAAACCTTTATACAAACTAGAAAGGAAGAAGAAGAGGCTCAAACTCTCTTTTTCTTTCCTTTTTCCTTTTTCTCTTCTATTAGTACAAAACTTTAGCATAGTGCCGTTGCCGCCCTGCTTTCTACGCAGCTGGTTATCCATGGATGTCCTGATTCCCCCAAAAGGAACAAAGGAAATCACAAAACATGAGAAAAAAAGAATACTACCCAATAAGATCAAACTAATTATGCCATGGATTTGTTTGTTCTGCGTTTGAATCGCAAATGTTGATAAGATCTCAAAATTCAGGAAGTTCAGAGAAATTAATTTCAGTTTTAAGGCACAATTAGGCGTTCTTGTTCTCTGTAAGAGGATTTAATTTGTCGAAATGAAGAATAACGATCTTCCGCGAAAGATGAAGAAATATTAAGCGCGAATTTCAGGTAAATTAGTAGATACTTACTGAGGACTTGTTCGGCGGAGATTCTTCTGGAAACATCTTTGCAGAGCATTTTCCTGAGCAAGTCTTTTGCCGCGGGAGATACAGAGTGGAAAACTCTTGACGGAAATCTCAGATTCGCTCGCAATACCGCGTGAAAGATCTCAACAACCGATTCTCCATGAAACGGTGGAAAACCTGCTAACATAACGTACAAAACCACGCCGGCGCTCCACACATCAACCTTCTCGCCGTAGTCTTTTCCAGCCAGCACTTCCGGCGCCACGTAGTACGGCGTTCCGACAACGCCTCTCATCGACTCTTCTCCCTGTTTGAACATTTCCGCCGATCCGAAATCCGCTAATTTCACCGAATCCCACTCGTCGAACAGAATATTGTCGGGCTTAATATCGCGATGCGCAACGCCGTAACGGTGACAATGAGCCACCGCGTGCATCAGTTGCGACATGATCATGGCGGCCTCCGCCTCGGAAAAAACCTGGAGTGTGACTCGCCGGTGGAGATCGGAAGAGGAACAGAGATCTAGAACCATATGGAGATGAAATTCGTCTTCGTAGAGATTATGCAGCGCGAGAATGTGAGGGTGAGGGTAAAGGAGATGAAGAATCTTCGTCTCCTTGACGAGACATTCGGCATCGAGTGAATCGCCGGCCAAGATCCGACGCTTATCGATGGTTTTGACGGCGTAGTTTTCACCAGAGGATCTGGAAGTGCATCTGAAAACGGTGCCGAATCTTCCCCGACCGATCTCTTCGATTACTTGATAGTCTCTCTTCAAATCGTCGCTCATTACTGTGTTTTTCTTCTTCTTCTTCTTCTTTTCCTTTTCTCCTCCGTTTGTTTTCCACTGTAAATTGTCCGAAACCACATAGGAGAGCGTTTCGATTCGGTGTTTATAGAAGCAAAACGTGAGAGCAAGAAGGAATTCCATTCAATTTCGGAATGTTAAAAAGGAATATTCGGTTGTAACTGCCAAATCAGAGATCGCCACGTGGTCCATCACCGAAACCATACTCGTATAACTAGTGGCTTCAAATGTCCACATTGCCCTCTCCTTCCGTCCTCGTTGGCCTTACCGTGTCCTTTACTTCTTTTGTTCCGTTAGTTTTCAATTTAATATTTAAAATTTAGAGAGTGAAAAGTAAAAACGACTCGCACTCTATTTTTAATTGTTTTCCAGATTTTCAAGTCTTATATTTTAAATAAACACATATTTCGGCTTTAGTAATTTTGGAAAAAGCATAAATAAATTTGATATTTTACCATTATTCCACATCCAATCTTTTTACCGCTTAATTTATTAAAATATTTATTATGAACGATAAGGTCATAACCTTAAATATTCTTTTTCTACTCCAAGAGAAAAAACAAACAAAATATATACACATCTTTTAAAATAATAATAATAAAAGTCCACTGATTAAATTTAGGTTAATACAAATTAGATTTAGGTTAATACAAATTATTATTATTAAGATATATTAAATTTTTGTATTACAAAACAATAATAAAAATAAGTACCTAAATATAAATTAAATTATATTCTTTTTGACCCAATAGTAGGGTCAACTGGCAGACCATTCAAACGTCCAAGAAAATGAATATATTCCGTTTAAATTGGTTTATATCTCTGTAGCTTTCTTTCTCTAATCAGGGGGGGACCTGCACAAGATTTTAGATAAAAGGTACCCACAGGTACGTACTTGCTGTACGTTTATTGCACATGTATACCTTAAAAGTTTGATTTAACTCGCTACATAGAAGAGTCACACGTCAAACTCATTCAGGGATTAATCATGAGTTTATAAGTAAGAAATATACTTTATATTAGTTTGAGAGATCTTGGGAAAACCAATAAACATAATGAAATCATGAAAGCTTATGCTTAAAGTAGACAATATTATACAATTGTGAGAGTCTAACGCATCAGCTGTCGATCGTCCGACTCTACCGAAAGTGATAGCCCACAGCAAAAGCGAAACGAGAGGCTGCTGTTTGAGGCTCTGCCTTTTTGGGAATTGGCTTTTGGAGAAACCAAAAGGCTAGCCTAATTGTAAGGCAATTCTTTAATTGATACATGACAAACCCATTTACCAACTCGAAATTGATGTCTATGGGACATTGGAAGCTGTTTGTTTGTATGTATTTCTGAGTCTCATAGGGCCCCATTTGACAGATTTTGCTTTGTCTTGCTTCACAGCGAGTTATCAGAAAACTTATGGTGTTGATATCACAGTATGTGTTTGATAAGGCCCTGTAATCGATAAGTGGTTGTTCTCCTTTGCTTTGAGCTTTCCTTGTTATCATTGATTTCTTATCCTTCCTTTGCCTGCCCTGTTACCAATTTAATGCATCACCTCATTCCACTTGCCTTTCAATTTGCTTATCATCCTGTCCTTTGAGAGAGCATTAGGCTCAACCGATCATCTTGTTCTCGAGTGAGAACTAGTACAAACGATAAAACCGAGCTAAGCCAAACGAAGAAGAAACAATGCAGAAGGAGGAGAGAATTTAAAATTAATAAAAAAAAAAAAAAAAAAAACTTACCTAAAGCACCGACAGCAGGATTCGAACCTGTGCAAGCGAATTCCAACGGATTTCAAATTTGTCTCCTCAACCACTCGGATATATTGACATTTTGTTTTCAGAGCTTGAATTTTTAATTGATATAATTATTTCGACTATCAATACTATTCAAAACGTCGACAGCAGGGTTCGAACCTGCGCGGGCGAAGCCCAACAGATTTCAAGTCTGTCTCCTTAACCACTCGGACATATCGACATTTTTGTGTCAAAAGCTTCAATTTTATTTTATAAAATCTAATTAAAATTTTAACTATCAATATTTTGAAATTGAAATTTATTGATATAAAAAAAGAATACAAATATGTCAGGCTAACAAACTCAATTAATTATTATAAATTAAAATAGGAATAATATAATATCTTAAAACTTTATGATAATCACACAAAACTCTTTGATATAAAATATATTTATAAATTATTAATAATAGTTTATATTTAACCTAATATTTAAAAGATAGTTACAATTAATTTCATAATTTATAAATAATATTATTATTTAAATTGAGATTTAAACACGTCAAAATGTATTTTTGTAAATTACCTATGCCTTCACATGTTCAAGACACAATTGTTATAATAGAACCATTGTATATTGTGTTATTAAAAATATCGACGTAGATTAATATTTAATTTATTATTGTGTTATTCAAAATATCGACGTAGATTAATATTTAATTTTATTATTATTGCTATTTAGTAATTTTTAAAGCGATGAAGTGTATCCCGTCATTATTTTACAATTTCCCTCGTGGCCCAGTCTCGTTGAGCCACGTTTCAC